AGAAAACATAGTGCTCTCCCAAAGCATTTGAAACATAAGAACTCTAGATGAAGTGTTAAGATACCTGGGTTTGGCGTCCACCAGACACTGGCCGTTTGCCCTAGGGCAGTCACCAAAAAAAAAAAAACCCCAGAAAAGACTGCTCAAGTCCTGTCCACATCTTGCTATGGAGTTGAGCAATAGCAAACTCTCTAGTCTTTCTCAGCATGCTAGAAAAATGGACATGAAATGTGGACTTCCAAATGAGTTTTTTGTTGTTGTTGCTGTGTTTTGGTATCAGGAATTGAACTCAGGACCTTGTGCTTGCCAGGCAGACAAGAGGTCACTGAGCTACATCCCTGGCCCCCAAATGAGTTTTTTTCATTCGCAGTATCAGGGATGGAACTCAGGACCTTGCCCTTGACAGGAGGAGCGTTGCCACCGAGCTAAATCTCTAGCCCTCAAATGAGTATTTTTTACAGTAGTCTATAAAATTCTCTGAGTCTTGCCCCACATCCTTTATAAGATGGTTGTACAGATTAGATGAGATATTATACAGGTTTTTTTTCCCCTGGTACTGGGAATCAAACTCAGGACCTTGAGCTTGCCAGACAGGCACGGTGCTGCTGAGCTACGTCCCAGGTCCTGAGATACTATATGTTAAAGCACTGAGAGGCAGGATCATACGTTACAAAGAGGGCAAAATATATAAATTGGACAGACCTGGATTCAGGATCCTGCTCTACCTCACAAAATCTGTAACCTTAGACAAATTGCTCTTTGTTTTTTGGCTTTTTCTTTGGTGGTGCTTGGTATTGAACCCAGGGTTTTCATACTGAATAGACCCTCGATCCCTCTGTTATTGTTTTAAATTTTGAAAGAAGTTTTCACTAAGTTGCTAAATTGCCCAGCCTGGATTCAAACTTGTAGTCTTCCTGCCTCAGCCTCCCAGAATGCAAAATTACAGGTGTCCACAACCACGCCAAGCTAAATGACTTCACTTTTCTGAGCCTGATTTTATTAATCTCGAACCACAGGGTTGTTGTGAGAATGAAATGAAGTAGCCTAAGCTTGATGACAGGTGACTCTGTATTCTTAAATTTGTTTTAGTACATGTTTGCAGCACATAATGGTGCCGCTCACTGTGGGGAGTTGACACATGTATGTATATAATTCTTTCTACGTCTCCTCCTCAGCGTAGTCCTTTCCCCATCTGCAAAAGATCGGACAGGTGACTTTGTAAGTAACATTGACGTATAAAGAATCTGTTTTTCTTTATGATATCAGGGTTCAAAGTTAGGGACGTGCTACGGCTAAGCTACACCCTCAACCCTTTTGATTTTGTACTTTTAGAGAGAGTCTCTCTAAATTACCCATCCTGTCCCGTAATTTGCAATCTGCCTGCCTCAGTCTCCTGAGTAGCTTGGATTAGTTCTGAGTCATTACGCCCAACCAAACTTCAAAAATGACAATTCCTTAAAAAGTCACTTCGAACCCTAAGACGACACACAGTTATTGACGTATTCTAGTTTATCTGTGACCGAGAACCACGTACCCAGTTGGGCAGCGTCGGGACCCACACTCTGAATCATCACGTATTCGCCACTTTTTGGAAAGGGTACAAAAATGGTCACGGGAGTAAAGGTGACAGAAGTGACTAAAAAGTGATTTTTTTTTTTTTTTGGTATAAGCCCTTAGAGTCCTACGTGTTTCTCAGGCTAGAGGTTAAATAAGAGAAAAATGTAATCACTCCTTGTCTGCCAACAGTGCCAGAAGCACTTCCCTCCCGAAAGCCTAGGCTTTCCTGTCAGCTACAGCGAAGCAAACAAACAACCATGCCCCCTGGTTCTGGTTTCCTACTGTCGCTGAGACCCAAGAGGGTGAGGAGGCTGCAGGCAAGCAATGACCTAACCTTCCATACTCCCGGCCTGAGCGCTGTCCATTTGCCCACACTCCACAAGTGTTTCTACCCTGTTTTCGTGACGGGAGTTTATTTTTTCTTTCTTTCTTCCTTTGAAGAACCGAGAAAGAAGAATCAGGGGACAGGCTTTTATCAGAATACCAGGTTATAAGGTGAAAGGTTATAAACAACTCTGCCCAGGAGGCCTCCGTTTCAGAACATGCCTTGGCCACCGGCCTGGTAGGCAGCTGCTCCTGCCAAAGTTAAACAGCTTTTTGGCACTGAAGAGAACTCGGGCATAACAGAGCAAACAAGGGGTCTGGACTCACCTGCAAAATGGGAGGATGAGAAAAGACTGGAGCTGAAGACAGAAACTTAGAACATGAGGGAATTTAGGATTTTTAGAAACTGAAATTTTCAGTACTTCATAGATGCCCCCAAATGAGAAAGTATCAGCGTTCTGTAAAACATCTCGAATCAACACCACCCCGATTACCACCTTTCCTCTCCTTACCTCAAAATGTATGCAGTTACACAGCATGCTGTCTACTGTAACGATATTGGCTCATGCATCTCGATAAGCATTTTGATGTCTTAGATCTATGTACATTTTCATACCTATCAAACTAAAATTTTCTAGAAGTCATAGGTTTTTTTGTTTTTTAGGGTTTTTTTTCTGAGACACTGTCTGGCTATGTAACCCAGACTGGTCTTGTCCTTGACGCACACCACCATGCCGGCCAGAAGCCATAATTTTGAGCTTTTAAAATGACTTTAGGAGGAAGTAAGTGATTCCCAAGAGATTGTTAACGGCATTGTGTGTACATAATGGGGGGAGGGGTTTGAACATCACCTTTTCTATTTTTGAGTGGCATTTGAACATTTTGTATTCTTATAAAATTCGGAAATTTGCTACGGTGGTAGTCTTCCCCTGTATTACAAACCTCTTCATCTCCATTTACCACTGAGATTTATGTTCCAGGCATCCCAGAGCCAATTTGAGGATGACTTCTGTTTTTATTTTTCTCTCTGAATCCCACCACTCCTGTTCTGATCATCATCCTAGTGCTGATTCTTATTTAAAAACCGTTCTGCTGGGCATGGTGACGCATGCCTGTAATCCCAGCACTCGGCAGGCTGATGCAGGAGTATTGTCGTGAGTTCGAGGCCAACCTAGGCTACACAGTGAATTCAAGACCAACCTGAACTACACAGCCAGACCCTGTCTCATAAGAACAACAAAATAATAATAATAATTTAAAAATTACTTCAGTGAGAGTCTCACCTTTCCTGCCCCTAATAAGTCAGTATTGTTTACTAACTGAAAACACCTAGAACCTAGTTGGTTAGTTTTCTAGAACAGGGTGCCACCTCACACACCCTAAGGATCAACATGTTCCCATGTGTGTTTTCGAACAGTCATGATCACTGATTCTGAGCTTGCTTAATATCGGGGTTGAGTTGTAACTTGTTAGCCTGGGGGTGTCAGTCTCGTGAGAGCGCATGAAGAGGAAGAAGGATCCTTCGCTGCACTGAGTGGCCCTTCCTTCTGCTAAGAAGACAGGATTTTTGTACAGTCAAAGCCTTATTTACTTCCCCATCTCAAGTTTAGGAACATTAGCTTCCTCTTTCCAGCACAAAGAATGAGATAACAATCTCTTGATAGCCCCGTGCAACTACAAACCGGATCTAGGAATTCAAGGAAAGAGGGTTAGGATTCCTTCTCTGCAGCCTTTGCTTTTTACCTTTAGGAATCATTTCTCAGGGATTGGCTCCTATGGCATCTAGTAGCCAGCAGGGGAAACCTGGTCCACCAGGTAGGTTAATGAAACCAACACATAATACAGCCCAGCCCCTTTTAACTTGTTTTGAACGGTGCTCTGATAATCCTTATTTCTTCTCTCTTGCTTTCTTACTGATTTCTAAACTACCTTGGGGGCAAAAATAAGGAAAGTGTTCCACTTTGGTCAGAAACAGGAGCACTATGTTGCTTTCAATCCACTCAAAGATTGAATATGGGAAAACGGATGGAAACCCACGTGGTAGTGAACACCGGTAGTCCCAGCACTCAAGAGGCTGAGGCAGGAGGATCACCTGAGTTCAAGGCCAGCCTGTGCTACATAGTTCAAAGGCAGCCTGATCTATATAGTGAGACCCTGTCTGGAAAATTAAGAAGGGGGGGGCTTTATGTATGTACACTTAGTGAGTTTAGAGAGACGAAAATAAAGCGTGAAAGAATCCCAGGAAGATGAAAGGGACAAACTTTTTTTTTTTTTTTTCCTGGAGAAAGAGGGTAGATAATTACAGTCTAAAGGACACACCTCACTACGGACGTAATGAGGGAAGCGAGGAACATAAACAAAGTGTCCCCAACTTAGCAAGTAGACAAGATGAGGGGATAAGCAACAGGATGTGGACGCTCCTGCACTGCTTCCGCTCCAGAGAACACGGAGGACAGAGGGCCCGGGGGTGAGGACAGCCGCGCCCCGAGGTCGGAGAGAGGTGGGAAGTGTGTGCGAGTTCTCACTTCCTTCAGGGACAGCAGTTTTGGTGGGGAGATGTAAGAGACCCGGGCCGAGAGAAGGGCAAAGAGGATTTCTAAATAATAACATCAGCACCCTGCCCTCCGCCCCAATCCTGAAGTATTCTTGGCACCGTGGGGTTGTTTTTCACAGACTCGAGACTTGTGAGCCAGGAACAAACGGCAGCGTCTAAAGCGCACTGGCTAAGGCTGGTCAGGAAATTCCCTCATAAGCACATTTT